CCGGAAGCTGGTTGTTGGATGTGGTGTGACCTTGTGCTTGAAGCTGTTGTTCAAGTGCTCGAATCTTGGCTTGGGCATCTTGGAGGCTGGTGTTGGTGAACTGGCGGAAGTAATCCATGGTTCCATTGACCAAGTGATGGATTTTTGTTTTCTTCAACTGGTTTGGGTCTGGATCAGTGATTGTGACGCCTTGTTGATCACAGTATGCTGCTGCTACATCATCAAGGTCGATGTGCTCATCACGAAGTTTGACGGAAAGGTGATGAAAAAATATGGATTCTTTGATGCTGCGGGCAAACACTATTGATGTGAATTTCCCGTTGGCTAAGGCGCGTAGGTTCCAATTGGACCATCCCATGTATGCCAATTCATGTAGGTGGACACTTTCGATGGGTCGGCCTGCAAGTTGGTACCTTTGACTCCAGGCTGTGGCTGTGACTTGGCGTGGAAACGTCAAGCCATACTGGTGTTTGGTGTCAAAATGTTCATTGTCTGGCTGAAAACTGCTCGGTAAGTTGCGGTCGTACCGCTTTGTGCCTTGTGGGCTGGGTGGTTCGTTCCACTGCTGGTGTTGTGTGTGTGCTTGATATGCTCTTGGTGGTGTGTTGACTTGGTACTGTTTCGAATGCCAAGAATCATACGGTCCCATGCTGCCGCGCCACGAGGTCATGGTTGCACTCGAACAACGAAGAAACGTGAAGGTGTCCTGATGATCGCTACAATATCTACTTTTTTGAGCACGAGGATTGCTATCAGAAACAATTCTGAAACAGAGATTGCTATCAGAGATAAAATCCAAACAAATCCAAACAAAATCCAAACAAATCCAAACAAAATTGTATTAGGCAATGAGGATTTGATGACATCAACGATGTTAACGCATGTGAATTTTTGAATTACAATGGTTGACGACATGTCGGCAAAACCCTTCAAACAATTGCAAACGGCTTGGTGGAAGTACACTGTACATCGGCTCTTTTTTTGCTGGTTCCGCTGATATGTTCTATGCCACGTGTCACTGGGAAGATTTCAAATAGGATATTATTTATATCACAAGGACACATTATATTTGCAGGAAGGTGGAGATTCTCTAGAAATAGTAAATTCGATAAAAATAGCATATCATATTATAGTATAAATGGAGGTGAAACTGACGCGTCAGCAGCCTCTCATTTGCACATCTGTCGGCAGCAGCTGCGGCTCGCCAAACCCATCTTCATGCGCAAGCGTGTGCTGTGCTGGTGTGGAGAAGTTTGGATCAGGCTCAAGGATCCAAATGCTGGAGATGTGTGCTAGTGTTGAGTGAATGCACCAACGTCGATCCCGTGGTCTGTGGACTATGCCATGAGTGTCCACTTCTTCTTGTTCGGCCCATGTTCCTCCTGTGGGTACTGGTTTGAGTGTGCCCCACAATTGTCCTGTGAGGATGAATGGTACATGGCTTTTGCCGCTGAGGTATCGATGGACGACTTTGTGGATGAGGTTGTCCTGTTCCATTGTGGCACTGCAAAAGAAGCCATGAACTTTTCGGCCATCCATGGATTCAGAGCATGTTGGTAGGATTAGGCCATGGAGTAGGATTCCTAAGAATCCCGATTCGCTTGTGGCATGTGCCCAATGGTAGTAGGCGTTTCCTGCTTGTGATAGTGATATTGCGGTGTTGCGTGGCATGTTTTTTAAGTGGAGTTGCCATATTCTGAATTGTTGGTGCTGGTGAAATGTGATGTGGGTGAGTGTGTTGTTGATAGGCATGCCGGTTGTGACGATGTACTTTGCTAACGTTGTGGTGATGTGTTCTTCTGGTAGGTCGATGCCTGCTGGAAATCGTGTTTCCAACCATTCTTTCATGTCACGTACACTTTTGTCCCGATCCGATAAGAATCGGAAGTATACTGACGGTGCTGTGAGCTCACGGGCTCGGAGTGTTGCTGAGTGAAGGCGTTGCTCTAGCTCTTGGTAATTGAATATCTGGTAGCTGTCACGCGTGGGAGGTTCCCACGGAATGAGGACTGACGGATCCTGTTGTATTTGTCGTTCGATGGCTTCTTCGAGGTGATCAATTGCTTGTGTTGGCTGTGGTTCGTTGGTAGTGTTGGTAGTGTCAAGTGGTGTTGGTGGTGTGTATTGCTGGCGAGGTGTGAGGTGGACTTGTCCTGCTGTGACAGTCGTTGATGTTGTGGTGTTGTAAGTGTTCTTGGACTTGGCGATGGACCTGATTTTGTCAGCCACGCTAAGCCCCGCGCTAAGCGGTGGTGGTACTGTGGGAGGAGGCAGAAGAGGCGGCGGAGGTGGTTGTTGTTGATGAGAAGTAGGAGAAGTGGAGAACAGGTGTTTACCTGTGTAATCTGATGGTAACGGTGGTGGTGGAAGAGGTGGTAGTTGTGTTGTTGTTGGTGGTGGTGGTAGTGGTGACATGTGGTGTTGTGGTGTTGTGTGTTGCTGAGAAGATGCTGCTGGTTTGTGTCCGGTGTGTGATCGATGGTTGGATTTGGACCTGTCAGTGTGTGAAGAATGTTGCCTGCGATGTGAACGGTGCCGGCGTCGACGTTGTGATCGGTGTTTTGAATTTGTGGTGTCTGGAACGTAGTGTGGTGGATCTGTGGCGTGATCTGTAATGGGAGTGATGTCGTTTCGTCGATTTGCGTCTGTGTCGTCTGGTGGTGGATGATCTGTGCTTCTTGCGTGTGGTGCGAGATCGTGTACGGTTGTGCTTGTTGTGACTCATTGGTGGCGTTGAAGCTGTAGTGGTTGGAAATTGCTGTGAAAATGGAGTGTTTGGAAATTGCTGTGAAAATGGTGTGGCTGGTAGTGGTTGAACTAGTGTCGTGGTTGTTGAGTGTGGTGTAGGCTGGTAATTGAGGAGTGATCCATATTGTGATGGTGAGAGCTGAGGATTGGGTATGGCTGCGTTGTGATGCGGTGGTGGCTGAAAACCTGGCATGGCTGTGCTGTGATGTGGTGTGTTGAAAGTGTGCAAAGATGGAGATTGTGTAAACGCAGAGGTGGCACATGGTGCTTGTGTTGGCTGTGGGACGGTGTGTCCCAGAAGTTGTGGTTGTTGTTGTTGTTGTTGTTGTTGTTGTTGTGGAATTGGAGCAAAAGGCTGTGTAAAATCTGCTGTGGTACACTGTGGTTGCATTGATTGTGGTAAGGTGTGTCCGGCTGGATAATGTTGTTGTGGAGTTTGAGAGAATGTTGATAGAAAAGGTGCTGATGCTTGTGCGTTGTGTGATGCTGAACTCATCCACTGGGCAAACAAATCAGCTGCCGTCATCGCGGGCTGCATGGTCGGAATCACGAAGCTGCAAGCGCTGCACATGTCAGTCTTCAATGTGGCCATGATGTCAAGTCGAAATTTATCTAACTCATGTCATTAGTCACCATGGCATGATGATTCATGTTCATGGCTTTCATGTTGCGCCATGTGAACTACGCGATGATTCATGTACAGGGTTTTCATGTTGCACCATGTAAACTACGCGAAAACTAACCAAATTGGTCTAGTGAGGCTATCGAGTCATGTCTGTAAAAAACCGCGAGCAGTCATGCATGGGATCCGTGTTGCAATCATACTACTAGTTCATGTGTAGAGGCCAAGGTGAAGAGTGAAAAACGGTCGTGTTAGTTAAACATGTAGAACCGCATGGGATGACACGGGGTTATTCTGAGGGATGAAAATTTCACTCTGGATTTATTCTGGCATGGACTCTGGATTTATTCTGGCATGGACTCTGGATTTATTCTGAAAAGCATTCAATCCCCTGATGGAGTCTTCTGGATGCTTGTGCGGACTCTGGATGCTTGTGCGGAACTGGCTTCTGGCAACATTATGTCTGGATTTATTCTTGTAACCTGGTATCCCCGGCGGACGCACCACCAAGCTTCCCCGGCACTTTGTCAGAGATCCGGGTGCATGAAAGACACACTTTGGTAAACTCCATAATGGAGATGGTGAAATGAGATGAAATGATAACCGTCATGTCGTGTTGTTACATTAGCATGTCATGTCATGTCATGTCATGACATGTCGGCTTGGGTGGTTTTTGGCTTGGCCACCTTGCCATTTCGGATGCAGGTACGTTTTCACGACGACATAGATGGGTCTTCGTTGGCCCGTGCCATCTATGCGTCCACGGGCCCCCTGCTTTTCCCTTTGATTCAGGGTTTCTCACACACACACACTGACACTGTGAGAACACCCAAATAGGGAGAGCGATGTGATTGAAAAGGTGAGATATTCTATATCATTTCCTGGTTCTGAGACTCGTTCCTTCTGTCATCGAGAAGTCATAATCACTTGGGTAGTCTATCATGTAGCAGTTCACTTGTCAAACATTTCGTTTGAAAGACAAAAAGTCGGCTGCAAAGCAATGGTGAATGAACGCAGGACGAAAATACGGACAGGTCTAGAGTTTCCCTCGTCTGATCTCAGCTACTTCGCAAAACGTCGCTGGAAAACGGTAATGAGAAATGCGGAATTGAAAAAGCTTGTTCAACAGTTCAAACCAAGGTCGAGGATGCAGGTACACAGAGCTGATCAGGCTCTGCTTCCCGTACAATCAGGTAGCTTCGTTGGACGTGGTCCCTGATTGTACGCCACGTCCCCCTGCCTTGCTGATTGACAGCGTGTGAGGAGATGACAGCGAGTGATCTATGCACATTGGTTGACAGCGTGTGATGTGAGATGAGAAGTACGTCATGTATGTGTGATGAGATACTTAGGTTGGTATGGTACAGGGTCCGATCCCTGTGATGCAGGGTTGCCCACCCACACGCCCGCACGCCCGCACGCCCGCACGCCCGCCCGCCCGCCCGCGCGCGCGCCGCCCAGACCAGACTGTCTGACTGCCATTGTTCCTTGACATTCTTCAAAGCGAGGCTCGATACGTGGGGTTGTCCAGTCCTTTAATTTGGACCAGTCCCAGGGTACCGTCTTGCGTTGGGGGATGTTGGGGGTATAACAGCCGCAACTTGCCCTGGTGTCGGTTTGTTCTTTTCAGGTTTGGCCCACGGCAGATGTGATCTAGGATGTGATTACAAAGATGGGCGCCAAGGATGCGCTCTGCAAGATTAAGGACATGGACTTCGGGTTGCCGGACACCCTCGCGCACCTCAGGCCGAAGGAAAACCCCGGTTGGAGTAGATGAAGGCCGACCGTGGAAAGAAAGAGTGTTCTGAAAGGACAGACTGACAAATGTGAAAGACAACTCTTTTAATCGGTCTCGAGTTTCCAGCCTGTCCGGAGGCTTTACCAAGAAAAGCAGGGTAAAGCAGCCTTTTACAGGATGTGCTATTTTGATAGATAAGTATATAGCGTTGTAGAATTCATCATTGACCAGCGCCACAGTTCGGCACTTTGAGGTGAGCTCCAAAACTCAGCATCCGTTGCTATTTCGTCGATGATGAGTTTATCCGCCAGAAAAGGGTGAGCATTTTGAGCTACCAAGGTACTACTCACCCGAGGACTTCAAGGCAGGCTTCCCCAAAAGCATCGCCTTCCGTCCTCGTGTCGTGAAGCAGAACAGGGGCTCTGCAGGTGAAGGAATCTGGATTGTCAAGTTGAAGTCTGAAGCTCGGCCACTTCTTGAGACCTTTTCGATGTCTTTTTGGCGGGATAGACCTGGGTGTGGGTGTACGCTGGTTTTACCATGCCCAAAACAAAGAGAATCAACGAACTGGTGATGTTCGCCCAATTTTGGGCTGACTTTTGACCGACGCCCATCATTTCCCTTAAGGAAACTTATTGCAACGCGCCGGGTGATCGTGTTTGCTCGATGGATGAGCCCTTAATCTTGATGGAGGCCAACGACAATCATGTGGAAGAGCACACCGTGGCTGAGTTCATCGAGTTTTGTGTCAATGGCCGCAGTGAGAAGTCCGGGACCTGGAGCTCCCAAGGCTCCGGGAAGTACTTTGAAGCTGGAGGCCAGATGGTGGATCAGCGTTATTTGCCGGGGATTGAGGAGGGTGAATCTCGCTTCTTTATGGTCGGCAAGCAGTTGTACAACATCGAGCACTACGTGTACATCGGCGGCGTTGGGGGTGAGACGAAGACTACAATCTACCCACCGGATGCTCCGCAATATGCTGAGACCAAAAAGAAATTGGAAGGTGAAGTGGAACTCTATTTGGAAGCTTTGGGTCTCGGTATGGATTCTTTGCCTCTTTTGTGGGCAGTCGACTTCATTCCGATCAAGGATCACAAGTTTCCCTTGACCATCGGCGAGTTCAATTGCTCTTGCCTTGGCATTTCGGCCTTTCTCAAGGCCCGCGGGGGCACCTTGTCGCAATGCTCTGTGGAGAACATTGCGGCGGGGCAAGAGATGTGCAACTTCATCGGGGAAAAGGCGCGGGAGATCCTCGACTTGCAAAGATCAGTCAAGCGCTACGGCTACCCTGTTTTGCCACTGCCAGTGGCTTGCGCGGTCAGTGAGCTGAGTGAAGATGACTTTGGCTCCCCAACTGTTGTAGCATGGTAGTCGTGGAGTAAAGGCAGATGTTCAGCTTTGAGAGTGGCAGTTTGAGGAATGCCCCATAGATGCAGTGACCAGAACCCTACGACATCACCCGCAACTATGATCTTTGTACTTGGTAAAAAGGAGGAGTGTTTGTATAAGGGTAGGCGTTTCATTGTGATGAAACTCAACTGATCTCGTGTTTACATGAGTGGACCAGGGCAAAACCTTTTCACGGAAGCTAGCTTCGGCTAGCTGAAGTGTCTCTTGCTTAGCAAGATTCTACGGGGTGGCTGCCTGACGGTTTTTAAGGGTCCTCCATGCCCTCAAAGGACTAGGGTTGGGCCTTCAATTTTGCAGGGTTTAGATGATCTGTTGAGGCTGCTTCTCGGCCTGATGGTGTGTTGGTGTTCCACTTTCATCCTCATCGTCATCAAATTGTCATCATCACTATTATCAGTATCATTATCATCATCATCAACATCGTCATGATTGTCATTGCATTGGGTTTGGGGGTTCTGCTGATGCTGCTTCTCAGCATTGTATGTTTGTGCAGGGTTTTTGTACCTGGTGTAGCTTCTGTCGTGTTCCTCTCGGTCATCACTCCTCCTCCTCCTCATCCTCATCCTCATCCTCATCATCATCATCATCATCATCATAATCATATTTCGGGTCCTGCTGCTGCTGCTGCTGCTGCCTGTCAGCGTCGTTGGAGGATATGTTTCTGGAGGTTTTCTGTAGCTGATGGGGCGTGTGCTTTGTTCTTTGTGTACCCATTTTTTTGCTATGCGGAATCCCCCTCATCATCAGGCATACCCCCCTATAACATAGCTAGCACAAACTATCAGTCATCGGGTTTCCATGCTCCTAATCACATTCACTGGTTGCACACTTATCACTTATCACCTAGCTTCCCTTTCCAAACATGCTAGTTTCCGTTCCTTAACCCTGTCCTCAAGTGTGTTACATGCGTTAGAAAAAACGAGTACACCTGTACTGTGTTCAAATCATTGCAAAATCACATGAACTTTGCCTTGCTCCAGGCTCTAGTCGTCCTTTTTGCTAGTTTCCTGTAGGCTTTCACTTGGAGAGCCTACAGGGACAGCTGCCTTGAACATATTCAGATCAAGTGCGAAGCACTTTAACCTGCTTTATTTTGATTTGCGTCATCGAATTGCTACATTGCTATACCATAGGTAGCGAGAGCGAGATCCGCAAATTCCAAAAAAGCGGCGGCTCGGCGCCCCTGCAATTGAGAGGGAAGACCCAATAGAGTTGTTTCAAAAACCTTTTCAAGGTTTTGCCCAATTTTGCTGGAAATAGCTGGTAGAAACCATCCATCTCGGTGTTTTATTGCCACCCAAATTAGTCACCACCTCTCAGAATTCATCACCCAAAACTGAGAGGCTCAGCCCGGCGAAAGTTTGGTACAGATCGGTTTACCGGTATACCGCATTACATTGGAAAATAGGATGGAACTACATCCAAATAGATCAAACACATTATGAAAGTGGGGTTTGCAAGAAATCAACCAGCAACAGCAGCCGACTATGATCATTGGATCCTACGGTCAAAGATGACAGGGGCGTCCTCCATGAAGCTGCCATGATGCGTAGGAGGCGCTACGACCGCTACGAGGTGGTGCTCGCATAGTTCTTTTTTTACCAAGAAAACCGGTGATTTAACATGATTTCACCACCCACCGGGGGGAGTTATAGTTGATTTATGTTAGACAAGTTGGTGCAAATAACATCCATAATTAGGGTTTATCGAGTAATTGCAAAACTATATATATAGCTGTTGGGGTTTACAAGCCAACAAACATAGCTGCGGGGCACCACCTTGTATTAGCCTGAGACAAGAAATTGTAAGTCGGAATTGTTTGGGTGTCTGCCTGGTTTCTTTTTCCCAACGTCAGATCCACCAGAGGCCTTTTTGATTGGAACAACTCAGGCAGTTTCAAACAGTTCCGCAGCGTGCCAGTTGGCCGGCTGGAATGCGTCCCAGCATGTTCAGTTTAAATGACATGACATTTTATTGACCTGAATCTAGATATAGAGGAAATAAATAAATAATCAACAACTCCAAAGTGCCCATGAATTGTCCTATCCCACATTATCCCACCATCAGTAACATTCGTTGCTACAGTTGCATGGGTGTGGTGAGCGTATTTCCCCGCCCTTTGCTCCCAAAGGTTTTCTTTGGGAGACAGCTCCCAAAGTCCGGAGTTTCACTGTGTGTCACTGAAGGGAAAAGAGGATGTCTTGGAGTCATGGAAAGCCTGGCTCTAATCCAACGGAAGGGTCCTTCCTGGACGAGAACAGCGGTTTTTGGTTCCTATTTCCAAGGAGAACCAAGAAGAAACGTCCCTTTCTTGGGATGAACAAGGGTTGAAGTTCCATTTTCTATCATATCCTGTTATACATCAAGTTACGTCCATATTTAATATTCTGGTATATTCTGGTGAAGTCTTCATTTCTGTTGGTCTAAAGCAACCCCCGTTTTTCTGCGCCAAATGATGGGACATGTCCGGTGCTAGTCGCGCTAGTCTCGAAGTTTACAGTACATGTGCTGCTGCCAGCTGCCATTGGCTCTTTGTGGAGCCAATCGCCATGGTCCTCAGCGGAGAAAACCAAATTCCAGCTCAAATCGTTCACACCATTGATTATGACTGGATATGACTGAGTTTCTAGCGGGTTAAGGATGGCTAGAACCCCACTTAAATTCTCTTAAATTGCTTCGAGGTAGCGTTGCGGCAGGTTTTATGTTCCCTTTGTATCCCAGTACCGATCATCATCCCAAAGCACCAGTTACTCAGTTGCAGCAAGACTAGACTTTCGTAGTGCCACTGCTTCCGGCTGATGTCGCTTGAGCGGTTCAAGTAGGGGAGATCCTTCATTAGTGCCTCAGCCTCAGCCCTTCCAAGGAAGTTGGAGACTCCCAGCAAATTTCCGGTGAAGATTTTCCGAAATCTCAACAGGAAACCAGGGTTTGCCCCATCAAATATAGGGGTTTCAGGTAACATGAAATCTCGAAGTTTGAGATGTTGATGAGATGATCATCAGAAGCCTGAGGATTCCGGATTTGTGAGGCTTCACCAGCCGCCAATGGCGGAAATTTGGGGAACTGATGAGAGGGGGTTTAGGAATCATCACGCAGGTCTATGAACATGTCCATGGCATTTTTTGGGTTACATCAAGTTACATCCATTCATCCAGTCATATCCCATAGTATCCCATTAAGTCCGGTTACATCCCACAAAATGGTTGGTGGTTTGGAACATGTTTTTATTCTTCCATTCAGTTGGGAATTTCATGATCCCAACTGACTTTCACTCCATCATTTTTCAGAGGGGTTGAAACTCAACCACCAACCAGAAATGGCTGGTTTATATGTTGGATCATTAGAACTGCCACTGCCTGGTTCACCCCTGGTTCATCCCATGTCTTTCAGGATGGGCAGTGGCAGTTCTGCTTTTTCTGGGCTCTCTGAGGAGGAGGTGGTCAGTTTTTCTGGTGTTTCACACAGGAAGGGGTCCCCAAACAATAGGTAAATGGATGTAAATGTGTGGTTTAACCCAACAAAATTGAGATTTAAGATGATAACCGTGATCTTTTTGTTTACAGCTGCATGTGATCCCCAGTGTGGCAATCCTGACCTAAATTTTGGCATCCTATCTGACAGATATTCTTACGTTTTTCTTGGTATTTTATCTGGCATTCTCTCTGACATATGTACTGACATTCTATTCGCCATTGCGTCAATGGGAGAAACCTGGGGCAAATCTTGCACGGTTGACGGGGGCCATGCCTGCACTGTGGTGCACAGTGGTGCGAAGCTTCCCTTGGGAGGGATTTCCTTGGATAAAAAGACCAGACACAGGAAGAAACCAGATTGAGGGCCAAGGAAACACACAATTACCTCTGTGTCCAGATGAAAAGAAAAAGGGCGGATGGTTCAGGCATCAGCAAATTCGAAAAGAAGGGCTTTGGGTCGTTGGGTTCGGCTGTTTGGCTTTGGCTGTGCGCTGGCTTTAGCTGGTTGTAGCTTCTTTTGGTCTGCGTCTGGTCGTTGCTGAGTCTACTACCGGCCCGTCCCTGGCCCCCTTGGAGATGGGGTCGTTCTGCTATCGCCATGGGCGTCCACGCCGAGATTTGTAGGTACCCACCGCAGGAGTACAGGTTGGACTAGACGTGCTCCTCACAATAGGTGAGGGCACCGACAAAGAATGGGTGACCATTCCAGCAGCCCTGTACGAAGAATCATTACGTGCTTGGCGCGTGGAGCGCACGCGTGCAGCGTGCAGCTCCCGGGCCTGCTCGGGGGGCGTGAGGCTTAACAAGATTGCTTTGTAGCCACCAAGTTGGCTTAGCATCCTGTTGGGCTGAATGCCACTGGAAAAATTGGCGATGCTTGTAGCTATGAGGGTGCGTTTGTTTGTGGGAAAGATATATTTATCACATACAGGAAATGCGGTGAGCACCTCCCAACAAAGTTGTTTGCATTCTTCGTCTCGTCATGGGCAATGCAAACCAAGGCGCTAAGCGAAAAGACCGCACTTTGTCTCAAAACTTTGTCTCATGCTGGTGAGGAGTGCCCGTGTGTGGGCGTGCGTGCGTGTGCGTGTGTGTTCATGCGCGTGTGCCTGCGGGTGTATCACCAGTGTGTGTGGGCGGGCAGGTCCCGGGATGTATGGTTAAAATCCAGAGAACTTCGCCCGGCAGTTGGGAAAGATTGACATATAATTGATTGACGATTTGTTTCTTACGGTTTTTGTGGGATCTTTGTTATTTTAGTGATTGGATTCATAGGAATTATTTAGATGGGGTAACTCACAACTGCAGGCCCCCTCCCTGCAAAAAAAACAGCAAAAGAACGATTTTGTTTGATCATTTTCATATGTTTAAACCGCCAAATTGGGGTTGTAACTTGGATTTAGCCTGGTGTTGATCACTTCAGCCAGCACTAAAACATCAAAATGCGGATTTAGTATGTTTCATCATCAAAATGGAGATCCGCTTGCA